AGTAGTTAACAGTGAGAATCCGCACTTCCGCTTCCAATATAGGTTTTCTGAACAGGGTCAGAAAATCTTACACTAACATCCATGGATTCAGTCTTACTACTCAACATACAGGAAAATCTATAGAGCGATCATTTTTGTAAGGCAAAAAACCCTTATCATTCTAAACGCCTTACAAACTCTCATAACCAGCAACGTGAATCATGAGCAATCGTAAACGAAATTAGTAAAAAATTCCAAAAAAAAATCAAAGATCAACATTGACGGAAATCTCCTCAATAGTTATTATTGTTCCATAGGCAACATCATAACAAAAGACCTTGGCTCTCAAATAGATCCGCTCTCCTATCTTTCTGATATTAGCACCTGAATCCCTGGATATGTTTGTTCCAACTACCCCTCGCGAACTTAGACAAACGATTAACTCAATGAAGAACAAGAGAGCAGCAAATGACGATGGTATCTCTGTCAAGTTATTAGAGTCGCTACCGCTTAACGCAATCTCAGTTCTATCCAATGTTATTAATGTATCCTCGAATGTATCCTTCCTGTCTGAGTCCGTTCCAACTTGTTTAAAATCTGCTTAAATCATTCCTTTATACAAGGGAGGTGATCACCACTGCCCTTCGAACACAGGCCAATTTCCCTTCTGTCCACTCTTTCTAAACTTGTTGAACGTCTGGTTAAGCATCGCGTTTTATCATTTTTAAACCAACACAACATTTTAACTGTTAACCAATATGGCTTTGGACAATGAGCCTGTGAGTTCTGTTGAAAAATCGAAATTCTTGGGCTTACTCATTGATGAAGATCTAAAATTCTACCCCCACGTAATAGCGCTTAACAAAAAACTGTCATCTGGTTGTTACTCAATTCGGTCAACTTATCAACAAATTGGAAAGGAGGTCGCCTGCAATGTCTATTTCGCATTGGTGGAGTCCCATCTGAGATATGCTATTTCTTTCTGGGGTGCATGCTCCAATTACCTCTTCCAATCTGTTTTTGTTCTCCAGAAACAAGCAGTCAGAAATTTATCTAATGCACTTCCAAGAGCTCACTGCAAGCCGCTCTTCATCGCAAACAGAATCCTTAAGGTTGTCGCTCACTGGAGCGCGGCGTAGAGGACTTTTTAAATACATTGTTTTAAACGGGAGTACGCTCACTTGTCGGAAGAGCACCGATCGGCATACTCACTTTTAAAACTATGTATAATAAAAAGTCCTCTAAGCCGCGCTTCCGTGCGCTGCGCTTCAGTGAGCGTCAGCCTTTACTCTTCCTTCACTATTCATTTTGGAGACTGCATGTCTCATTCATAAACAGAAGCATAAATTTCCAACACATTAACAAAGGCTAAACGTCAGGGTAATCAAATTCCACTTCCAATACCACATTCAACCCTTGTCAAGGATTCACTCGCAAATTAGAAATACTGATGATCACAAACTTTTTCGCACATGTCTTGAGAGCTTTTTAAACAAAAAAGCATATTATTCTACTGATGAGTTTCTAATGGATCCAAGTTAATTTTATGGTGGGATTGTGGGTTACATTTTTCCGAGCATTTTTCAATTATTATTATTATTTTTTTTTATTGCTACTTTTTTTAACAAGTTCTTTGAACACAGTAAATAAGTATTCTATTTATTTCTTATTTTATTATTATTATTATTTCTTTTTTCTTGTTCGGTTGTTTATTTATATTTTTTTTGTGTTTTTGCTCTTTTTAGATGTACAGGGTGGCCCAAATTCGAGCCTCATCATTGGGATCTCGGAAACTGTAAGAGATACAGGGTCGGTTAAATTATGGCAAAGTTGCGCATTTTGATGCTTAACCAAATGCCGCTTTGATATTTAGGATATTCCGAAAACTTCCGGAGATATCCAGTGAAAACCGAAATTTTGCAAAATGGTTTTTATTTTTTCCTGACTTTATTTGAAGTGATATTTCAAAAAAAATATCACTTCATCATAGCCACTTTTTCTCCCCTACAAAATGCTATCATCAAATTGAAAATCTGACGTTTCGTCTTTGGGCCACCATCATCAACTTTATTTTTCTAAATACGGACCCTTATTTTTTATTTCAGATTTTAAGAGCTTCTGATATCTCAAAACCTATGACGTATCGCATTTATTCGAAAAATTTATATTATTGGTACTTTCCATAAGAACTACATGTGTTAGAGAGAGACAGAGAAGAGAATTTTGGTAGGAAATTACTAGAAAGTAAAAAAAATATTTTTTCGAATAAATGCGATACTTCATAGGTTTTCGGACATCAGAAGCTCTTAAAATCTGAAATAAAAAATTTAGGGTCGTATTTAAAAAAATTAAGTTCATGATGGTGGTCCAAAGATGAAATGTCAGATTTTAAATTTGATGGTAGCATCTTGTAGGGGAGAGAACGTGGCTACGATGAAGTGATATTTTTTTTTGAAATATCACTTCAAATAAAGTCAGGAAAAATTAAAAATAATTTTGCAAAATTTCGGTTTTTTTCTGGATATCTCCGGAAGTATTCGGAATATCCTAAATATCAAAGCGGCATTTTGTTAAGCATCAAAATGCGCAACTTTGCCATAATTCAACTGATCCTGTATCTTGTACGGTTTCCGAGATCCCAATGATGAGGCTCGAATCTGGGCCACCCTGTACACGGTACACAGAGCAGATGTCTGCTGAAAAATGTTAGTGATGATTCAAAAAAGAAGAGTATTTTTATTTATATTTAATTTAATTTTAATTTAACGTAGTTTAGATAGCTTTGTCAATAAGAATGTACTAGTTTTTGGACAATAAAGCAGTTTTTCAATTCAATTCAATTCAATATACCATTGACTGCATGAGAATGTATGGACTGATTCTGAACTTATTTAGAATTTCAATTAGAAGTATCAAAAAGCGCTTAAAAATATTTGGGACATTTCTGATAACTTCTAGAACATTCCGGCGCTTCAAGAGCATTAAGCAAGGAACCAATAATTGGAAACTTCAGATGAGTAGCATTTTGGAAAGCTTCAGGATGTGAGACTGCGCTCGTGCCAATTTGGACCATTTTAAAGCATTTTGAGAGGCTCTAGAGCACTTTTGAATAAATTTAGAACTTTGATAAAATCTAAATAGTTCAGAAGACTTTCAATTTCCAATCCTTCTGCATTTGTTTGAGACAAATCAGAACTTGCAGGAACATTGTAAAACGCTACAAAACACTCTAGAATCAAAATTAGAGTTTCAGAAATATTCTAGACGGATTAGAACACTTCCGAACTTTTGGGAACATTTATAGTTGGGGAGCTGGTGTCAAAAACATGCAAGAGTTTTCGCAAGGCGGATATTTTCAAAATAGGTCGTACTTTAGTGTTAGAATGCTAGTGTACAGTCAGCACTCACAGTTCCGGGACAGCTGGCTCTGGGACGCGGGCAAAGTTGTAATTTTAAGAAGCATCTAAACTGTTTTCTCAAAGCTCAAAATTTATAGAAATTTTGCACATTATCTGTTTGAAGGTTACAGATAACGTATGTAAATCGGTGTCCTGTCAAAATATATTTTTGCAGATATTTGACAATAGCTATTTATACAACAAGTTACGAAATGAGTGTCTTTTAGGCACGCGACGTGAAAATTGTCCAACGAGGCGTAGCCGAGTTAGACAACACGTCGAGTGACTAAAAGACATCGTTTCGTTACGTGTTGTATACAAGATTTTTTCTACTGGCGTTTCATACTGAAAAAAAACATAATTTTATTCCTCGTAAATAAGAGCCGATCACGCCAAAAAAGTTTGGCACCTGCTTTTGATTGACATCTTTCATGAGGTTTTTTTGATTGAAAATTGAAATCCTATTGAAAAAAACAACAGAAAGTTCTGTTTTGAGTAACCCAAACGTTTACTTTAGTAGTTCAAATAATTGCATTTACAACATTTATGAAAAAATAGACAAAATTCAAATCTGTGTTTTTTATTTCTGAACAATGAGTGACACTTTTAGGCACTAGTGCTTAAAAGTGTCACTTTTACGCACTAGTGCTTAAAAGAATGCCATTTAAAAACTAAAATGACAATCGAAAAGTCGCTATTATGAAACGTCAGTAGAAAAATATATTTGAAGAAAATGCCATAAAATAAAAACTTTGAGGACGTCTGACCCCCTTTTTGCAACGAACTAGACGTTTGACGATTTACATACGTTATCTGTGACCTTCAAACAGATAATGTGCAAAATTTCTATAAATTTTGAGCTTTGAGAAAACAGTTTAGATGCTTCTTAAAATTACAACTTTGCCCGCGTCCCAGAGCCAGCTGTCCCGGAACTGTGAGTGCTGACTGTACACTAGCATTCTAGCACTAAAGTACGACCTATTTGGAAAATATCCGCCTTGCGAAAACTCTTGCATGTTTTTGGCGCCACCTCCTGGACTATTAAGAATGTTCGAGATCCTTTAAAGTTTAGGCTTAGAGCCAAGTTAAAATTTCCAGGAGTATTTTGGAATGCTCTAGAAACAATCTGGAAACAATCTAGAACTGGAAACTTTTAGTATATCTTGAAAATCGTTACATGACACTGTAAAAGACGTTCAGACTTTAGAATTTCAATTAAAAGTATCACAGAGCACTAATGAATATTTCAAGAGCATTAGTTATGGCCGTTATGGGTTTCAGAATTTTATTTTAATTTTGTCTCTGTAAAACGGAGTATGTTTGAAAAACTGTTTTGTATTTGTCTTTTATTAAACATTTGTTGGGATGATTTCTTTTTTTTTTTGTGAAGAGTTTGTGTGTTGATAAAAAAATGTTTGTTTTTTTTTTCCTTTTATATAATATTCTGGTAGGATTTTTCTGTGGATATTCTTTCTAATTTATATGGAAATATCCATCAAAATCCATCCAAAAACCAAAGAGTAGAGAAAATTGTTTGCCAACCCTGTAAATTTCATATTCTACTTGCTACGTTTTTTATTTTGTCTTGGCTTAAAAAATTGAAAGAGGCAATATATATTTTAGGGTAAAGAAAAAATCCAAACCATAACAGGCCTTACTTTTGTAGCCTGTGTAGAAATAGGTGATATAAGAAATGAAGGTAAAAACAGCCTTGTAATTGTAACAGCAGACGGTTGGTGTCACATTTATGAGGTTCATAGTCAAGAAGAGGAATCTACTTCAGATGAAGCTGAAATAAACGAAAGTGTAGATGAAGTTGATGGCCAGGGTCCATCTTCTGCAGCTGCTACAACTGAAACGCAAAGCAGCAGTGAATCAACTCTTGATAGTGATTTGAAAAATACAAAAGTACTGAAAACCCCACTAGTTTGTGTTCATATACAGCGAATACCTGCTAATATTAAAGTGAGTAAATAAGTTCAAAATCAAAACGTTTTTTGTTGTCAGAATTTATTATTAGGAGATGTAGACAGTGATGGACAAATTGAAGTGGTTGTGGGTCTTACAGACAGGGTTATCAGATCCTATCGGTTTGTTAAAAATCCTTGTAAGACTACTAATGATTTTTTCAAGGAAAATGCTAAACCCGAAGAAAAATTTTTAGGTAACCCAAACAAACAAGAAAGTTTTGAATTTTAAAATTCTATCTATTTAGGTAAATTAGTTGCCATAAATAAATGGGAATGTGCCAATCAAATAGGATCAATTACTTTGCACCATTCCTACAATGGAAGGCCATCTATTTTAGTAGGCCAGCCTGGTGGTACTTTTATGAGGATACGGTGCCAAATGGATGAAGGAGAAGAAGAACTTAATAGGAGCGATGGGTAAATCTTTGTTTTGCAACAAATTTGTTATACCCTAAGGCATATCGCAAAAGGTTTTGTAAAACATTATTTTTTTGAGCTTGCAAAAACGTATCTGTGTTAGTTACATTTTATGTTAATTTTTAAAATTATAAGCAGTATGAGGTCACAAACTGCGGATCCTAGAAGTTAACCTACCTATTTATAACTTTTTTGTAATTACATCTAATGCTTAATTAATTATAGACTTAACAAAAATATCAAGTCATACAAAAGATATTTTAGTTACAGTAGTAAGTTGCAGGATATTATGATTTGAAATAATATAACTTCATGATCTTTTGATAGTTCAAATAATGGAAATCTGCCAGGCTCCATCGACTATCAATTCCTAGGAATCTCGAGAATGCGTAATCCAAATATTTCTACTGAAATTCTAGGCGATTTGAAAAGCTATGCTAGTGCTGAGAGTGTAGGGAAAATTGGAGAGAGCACCAATATTAGTCCACCTTATGCTTTGGCAACACTAGATGGCACCATTATGCTAGTCCAGGACGAAGTTATTTTGTGGTGAGTTTGGAAAATGCAGTTTGCACATATGAGAAAAGTGTTGATTTTTTAGGGCTATAGCTGTTGATCATCAAGTTTTCGCCCTAACCAAGCTAGATGTCACTCGTAATGGCTCAGATGATATTGTGGTATGTTCCTGGGATGGTCAAACGTATATTTTGGACCAAAGCAAAAATTCAGTAAGGTTTCATTTAGAGGAACCTGTGAGAGCTTTCCAGAGCGGTTGGTACTATTTGAACCCTGACCAACCATCTGTGACAGCATTGGTTTATGTTACTTTCAAAAACACTGTAAGATCTAGAGGTGTTTGAAACTTTTTTGAAAAACATTTCTAATTTTCAGATTATCATCTATTACGATATACCACTTAAAAATTTAATTTGTAAAAAGTTTGAGCCAGACGAAGCTACTTTGAGCCAATTGTTTGTTGACAAGAGCCGAAATCCTGAACAAGCCTTGGAATATGTGAAAAATATGGATAAAAAATCCAAGGCTGAATTGGTTTCTTCTCTTTTATATGATGATTAAAATGATTTAATGTTGTTTCCTAATTGATTGTTTTGTTTAGTTGATTATTATTTAGTTTCTTACTTTTTAATGGGTGTGAAAACTTTTTATAGGCCTTAAAATTATCAATTAAAAAAGGTTTTAATTTAAATTAGTTTTTATTTTGTGTATGATGGGTTTTTATTCTCTTCGGCTTTTAGTGTCTACCCATAATTAGTCCGGTCGACACATCACATACCGTGAGTTTTTAATACTTAGGTGACCTTTTTTTTATTGTTGTAATTAGTTCATTAGGTATTAAAGATTAAATTTAAGATAGGAGCCATTTCCAAAATATTGTCGTTCGGCCGCCATATTGATTTTTAAATAGCAATGGATATTCCTGGAACTTAAAAATCGACAAAGAGGCAAGCATTGTTAGTTGCATCACCGCCAGAGCATTCCAACAAAAAATCAAAGGGTAGTCCGGATGATAAATGGTGTGATATGTGAAGATGCAGAAAGATCGAAACAAAATCCTCTTCAGCAACCGAACCAAGAAACATGGAATAGCATAGCCAAAAAAGCAGAAGAATGGAAGGATTTAGGAACCAAGTATGATAATGTTTATAGAATAATTGAGGTTAACTCTGTACCTAAAAAAAAAGCTTGACATTACATTACATTACAAAAGCTTGAAAGAGCTTAAAAAAATAAGGAGAAAACCTGGTGACGATCATGAAAAAGTGTTAAAAAAAATTAATCCCTATTAAAAAGTAGCCGTGTATCACTGCCATTGATGCTCCTTGTGTTTTTTTGCACAAAACCACTGGAAGGAAAGGCAGTTCAAAATAGACTTGGTGAACGAATTTCAAAAAAAATTCACAGACTAGAAACGTTCGACGCGTGGAACACCTTCTGCAAATCAGTTGAATTTGTTAAAGATGAGCTGACCAAGACTAGGTTAGAAAGTTTAAGAACATTTTGCAATAATTCTGGTCTAGGGGTATCCTGAAAGCCGCTGCTTCAAATATTCGATATCACAAAGATTGTTGGAAGATTTGCTGCAAACCAATTTACCACATAAATGCGATAAAAACAAAGAAGAACAACAACAGGCAACAGCAAAGAGTTCAGTGGGTAACACAGAATGAAACTATTGCATTCAATGAATTTGTTGTTGAATGCTTAGACGAAAATGAAGAAGTTTACACACAGAGACTTGCTGTATGAGTATGAACAAATTCAAAGGTGATTTCAGACACAGAAATTAGGAACAGTCGTGACGATAGACACGCCCGACGATCACTTCGAGAGGAACTAATAAAGCGTTTTGGAGATGACATTGGCTTCCAAACCAGATACAGACGAAACGAATAAACGAATCATCAAGAGTCTTTTTTAAAAAAACATGGGGGAGCGTACGTTGTGAGTGCTGTGAATGATGAATAGCGAACCTCAATAAAGAAAAAAATAATATAGAGGAGTGTTTAAGGAGAACAAAGAAACAAACACAAGACTTTGAGGATGAGGTGTTCGCATCGGAGGAAAATCACCGAAATGAAATAGAGAAAAACAAAGCCGAAATAATTAAATTATAGATATGAATGGCAACATGACGAAACCTAAAATCCAAAGACTAGAGGTTGATATGGATGAATAAACTTCGACAAAAAATGATATGTTATCTACAATTAAAACATTGACTGCTGATAATGAAATATTCATAAAGAAATACAAAGAATCCCAACAAGAACTATTTCACCTGCAAAGCTTTTCAACAGAAAATACTACCAAGAAAAGCACAATAGAAGATGTGACTGATGATGGAAGAACCCAATGTAATCTTAGTCTGTCCACAGAACAGAAGCAACAATTTAGACAACATCGCGAAGCTAAGGAAAGCTCCGGAAAAATTATGATTATTGGGGATAGCACGATTGCTGAAATGCAAAAAATTCTGCAAAAGCAAATGGGTCTGGAAAAATATAGTGTAATCTCAGTAGTGAAACACAATGCATGTTTGGAGCACATTGTGGAAGATCTCCAGAACCTCACAAAGGACTTCAACCAAATCAGCGGGCAGTCGCGTAGCAATAAGGTCTTAATGGGCCCGAGCGCAAACCTTTTGATAGGACCCCCACCCAATAAAACAAAAAAGTCATGTTGGAGCGTCATACCCTCCCAAAACCAAGTGATTTTTGTCCGACAAATGTGATGTGATATCGTTAATGACGTTAATATAATATAGAAAACAGTCGATTGGAAATAAAACCACACGTAGGTAGATACATGTATCACCTTCCTTAGGAACGTCAGAACGACAACTTCACGATGAGCTAGCGAAAAAATAGGTTTGTTCGGACTTAGTTCAGGATCAGTTCTGAAGCCGTGTTCATTTTTGTCATCTTTTTTCTCAATTTGCTCCAGAGCTGGGCAAGCTACTTGGAAAAAGTAGCTAGCTACAAGCTACAAGCTACTTTATATTGTAAGTAGCTAAGTTACTCAGTAGCTCAACTACCTCTTTGAAAAAGTAGCTAAGCTATTAGTAGCTTAACTACATTTTGAATTTTTGAAAGCTACTATTTAAGCTACTTTTTTGAAAGTTAAATTGATAAAAACAAAAAAGCGTGCACAATCGCCACCATCAATGTACATACCTTACCTAATTTAATTTCATAATATCATCATACGAAAATAACATATTAGCTTTCTCTAAAGTCCGTATTACATATGTGTATTTATCCGTGTATTTCTTCATGTAGTTCAGGGTGCCAACATTATTTTGTTTTTCATAATGCTGATTTATGTTGCGTTTGAAGTTTTTCAGTTGTCACCCTGAACTACATGAATAAATTCACAGAAAAATACACAGATGTCATAAGGGCTTAAGAAGTATTCATATTTTTGTCAAAAACCACTGGACATTAATTTATTAGGTTCACTTTGATCACAGTGATCTGCGAATGAGAGAATAATAGGACACATAAAACATAGGTATCTACAGAGATAACTAGAAACTAGTTTAAGCAAGGCAGGATAAGAATTTTCTGGAAAATGATAATTGTAGCTTGAGCAATTAAAGTATACAGTTACTCTTATCGAGCGGTAAATTCAAACGCGGGCGATAGGTTGGTGGAAACGTGCCTTTATAAAAGGAAAACTGTTTTTTTTAGAAAACAATATCGAATGGATGCCAATATATAGGTATTATAGTTATAGGTATAGTTATTTCATTTTTGAACTAGAAGAGTCCGCTGCGCATAAAACGTAATAAGTATTTTGGGCGTTAAGTATCGTTAACCACACCCTCGGGCGGTAAATAACACTTTCCGCCATTAATACCTAAATAACTATTAACTATCTACCAAAAGTAGCTTGTTTTAGTAGCTAGCTACTTTTCACAGTAGCTTATGAATACTTGAAACACATTACCAAGAGCTACAGCTACAAGCTACTTTTTTTTCAAAGTAGCTTGAATAAGTTATTAGCTACCAAAAAAGTAGCTAAGCTAGTAGCTTAACTACTTGGTAGCTAGCTACTGCCCAGCTCTGATTTGCTCCGAAGTTTTGACAGGCACGTGATTTGTAAATTGAAACTGTCTAATCCAGTCACGTGGCTGTCAAAATTTCAGAGCAAATCGACGAAAATGATGACTAAAACGAACACGGCCTGAAATAAACAGCGATTGCGCATTTGTTCATACCGAACATTATATTATAAACAAATGCGCAAACGCAGTTCAATTTAGAACTGATTCTGAACTTATTCCGAACAAACCTAGTGTTCCAATGCTCAGGTTGAAGATATGAAAAAAATGTCCGATTTTGTGCTATAAAGCCGCTCAGGGACCTTATTTTTGAAACAGGGGAGCAACGTTCTCAGTAGAACGAGTGTTCCTTCTTTCTCAATGATATGCAACTGATAATAATATAAGAAACAAAGACGGAACACTCGCTCTCCTGGGAACGCTGCTTCCTGTTTCAAGAATAAGGACTCAGGAAATTTGACGTGTACATGAGTTACAAAATCCAAAGGTCGATGTACTAGAGACTTCTCCTCACACCAACAAAGCCAAAATCGGTTAGTTTAGGTAGCTTTTTAATATTTTCTTGCATCTGTCGTTTCAATTTGGTCACGTTAAGCCTAGTACTCATAACTGCGAAATTCGCATTTTTTTGACATTGCGTTGACAATTTGACGTTTTATGTGTGTATCGCAGTTATGAGTACTAGGCTTTATAGTCCAGGAGGTGGCGCCAAAAACATGCAAGAGTTTTCGCAAGGCGGATATTTTCAAAATAGGTCGTACTTTAGTGCTAGAATGCTAGTGTACAGTCAGCACTCACAGTTCCGGGACAGCTGGCTCTGGGACGCGGGCAAAGTTGTAATTTTAAGAAGCATCTAAACTGTTTTCTCAAAGCTCAAAATTTATAGAAATTTTGCACATTATCTGTTTGAAGGTCACAGATAACGTATGTAAATCGTCAGACGTCTAGTTCGTTGCAAAAAGGGGGTCAGACGTCCTCAAAGTTTTTATTTTATGGCATTTTCTTCAAATATATTTGTCAAATACCTGCAAAAATATATTTTGACAGGACACCGAAGCTTAGTTCATATACTTGCGAATCGCGGATTGCGGAAAGCGAATAATGATCCTATTGATCGATTTTAAATATGTCAAGCGGTGGGATTGGGAAGCCAAATCAACCAACAGGATCATTATTCGCGAGTATATGAACTAAGCTTTATTAAGGAATTTTCGCAGATTTTTTTAATTTTAAGAAGGGGGCCCTGCAGGGCCTCCTATGTTCCGGGGCCCCAGCGCTTCGCACTCCCCCGCTCATCGATAGCTACGCCACTGTCAGGGGGGGACTAAGAAACGCCCTGATGGGGGGCAAGGTAGAGGAAACAGTGTTTCAGTGTTTGTGGCAAGTAGTTACGAAAACAAATTTAATCATTGTAGGGAGATAGAATAGTTCTAAACAAATTTCTCGATCAGATTAACATTAAACTTTATACATTTGTTCAGAATATGAGTGAGGGCAGCAGGTTTATTAATATTAACTCTTTTTCAAGTTCATTTCCTGATGCTTTCAGTTCATCTTCCTGCTTCTTTCAGTTCAGCCACGTGACCTGTGCTCAAATATACCGCAAAAAAGGCAATTGCGGATAATATAGCTGTTGGTGTATCAAAAACTTTTTTAGGCTAACAGAGACTGGCGAAACCATAGATACTACCACTAACAATAGTTCAAAAATCACAACAAAAACCAGTAAAATTTCACTATTTTTACTGAACATCCAGTCATCTCGGGAAAAGATGGATGATTTACTTATACTGCTAGATGAATTAAAAGAAATGCCTAAATTTGTATTTCTAAGAGAGCACTGCTGAGAGGTGTGTTTCCTTCCTGATTACAGAGTTCTATCAAGTTTTTGCAGAAAGAATGGATATGGTGTGGTACAATGATATTCGTTCACGAATCCTTCTTAAGTGACCATGGATGTGAATCTAGATCCGTATAACCCACATAGCATTCAATATATTCTGTATATACCTTAAAAGTCCATGATGTGTAAAATATATCGCCAACATGTTTTCTATATACACTGTATATCCTAAATTAACATCCTCTTACAAGTCTGCGAATGTATATGAAATGTATGTTCGATGTGGACATTATATGCTTTCCGTCAAATAAATGTTTATTTGGTATATACATAGTATATACATAATGAACTTTGAACATTTTGCTAAAATTTACTTTCGCATGAGGGCGCTGTTGTATTACAGTGCTGCGAGACTCAACTGTTCTTCCCTTCAATTCAGATTTCGCAATAAGTTCAAGTAAATTTTGTTGAAATTTTTTGTTTTTGAATACTAAAAACTATTGTAGATCTTTGACATTTTTTTCTGCTAACCAAATTAGGGAAAATATCTAGTTTGAAATAAAGTTTTTCCAATTTTCAGGCTTTTGTTATAGGGTTAAGGGTTAAAGGAAAAAAAGATCTGGCAACAATGCCTGAGGCGTGCGCGTCCGTCGTCGTTCGTCGTTCTTTCGACTTTCCGTCCCCGTTCGGTTGTACCACGCCACCACGGCCATTTCTATTTTCTTCGTTTCCTCAATTACAATTTTTAATTTAAGTGCAATAATCGCATTATTCGCATTCACGCTAAGTATCCATAATCTCCAGTATATTGAAAAATTCAAGTGAAAAGCCCTGTACTCTTTCTTTCACTGGTTACGGACAGGAATTTTGCCTGGCTGGGCTGGCGTCACTTTCTCTGTCCGCCATTATTGTCGTAGCTAGCTGAGCGTCATTGTGCATTTTCATTTTTTGTTCAACGGGAGTCGGGAGTGAGTGGAGTGTTTTGTTTTTTTTGGTAAGTTTTAAACTATTACTACTAGATACTTGAATTTTGAATTATCCCTTATTGTCTAATTACAATCTTTGGCACTGCGGCACAGCCGAAACCATCAAAATTTCAAAACTAAGCTCAAAACCCGTTTACGATTTAGATAAATTTATTCTGGGAATGTAAAAATTTTGTGGCTATTTTGAACTTATTGTGGGTTTATCGTTTATCAAACAAATAGAATTAGATTGCATCGTGGGTGGCTAGATCAATCGCTTGTTAAGGCTTGTAAGTTAACAAGAACCTTAGAATGGGCCACACAGAAACAATGTCATATTGACATTGGCACATTCTAAGGTTTTTGTTTACTTAACAAGCCTTAACAAGCGATTGATCTAGCCACACTAATTAGATACGTCCAGAGCCAAAATTTGAATATACCTAGACTTTGCCTATGGGTTGGGTTTGGATACGATACAACAGTTCAGGGCTTGCCTCGGGGCTTTTTTACTAAGAAAATTGATACCACAATAATTATTGCTTATATTTCCAAGTTGTTCCCATATCATCACAAAAGATAGTTTTTTAATAGGTAGGTACCTACCATTGCCAAAAATACAACTTCATCAACCAGTTAGATCAAAATTTGGATAATGAATTTATTGATCTATTTCCCTTGGACATTGAAAAACTTAATAGCCTTGAAAATCGTTTGAATAACGAAATTGAAATGAAGAAAATGGTGAGCCTTATTAATTTATATTAATTTATGTTGATAAATGTATTATTTCTGATATTTTAGATAAAGTATTTAAGTCGAGTTGGAGGCAGTGATGTACCTGAAATTGTAAAACGATTGATGTATAAATTGTTAACAAATGAAGTTGGAAATTTATTCAGTTGGGATGGAGCCAAAGGAAAGAGAAAATTCAAATGTTTAAAGTTAGCCAATGTCATTTTAGGTATGCCAATGTGTAAGAAAGAATATATGTAATATGTCTGGTAATACTAAATATTATTTCGTTTCTAGATACTGTGCGAGCTAACAATCACACTAAAAATGCCACAGAAGCCGATATTATTGTCTACATAAAAAAATGGTTGGTGCGATCAAAGGATCGCATGCATCTGGAAGATAAGCGAAGAAGGTTAGTTTTGAAAATATTGTTGCCTAGTATTGTTCATATGTTGTTGAGCCCTTAAATGAGAAAATATATTCATTTATTTTCTTAGATGAAATTTTCTTCAGTTTATTTTAGACGGAATGAAAATCAGGAAGAAGAGGACGGAAATCAGGAAGAAGAGGACGGAAATGATACTATGTAAATTCGCATAGCATAAATCTTTAGTTTATTTATTATACATCAAATTCTAAAGTTCATTATTATGTAATTGGGTTTTTTTTATAATATTGATAATGATTATTTTGCTTACTCTGTCCAGTTGCTGGAAGACAAATTAGCATGGATGCAATTCGAGCCAGAAAAATCATGATTTCAGGTAGTGCCTGAATTGCATGAATGCAGATTTGTCAGAAAGTAAACCGAACATTGTTTTTCTCATGAATGAATCTTTCTTTTGTAAAATGTAAAAAAAACAAATAAATGGTCTCAAAAAAATGTTCGTTATAATTTCTTCCTTTCATGACGTTTTTTACAAGTAAGTATGTATCTGAGAAAGGGACTATCAAATGCCTGATAATTTTAAGACCATTTTTTTTTCAGTTGCGCTGGCTGGTAAGAAGTACAGGTAAGAAAGCAACGTGCTTTTGATTGTCATAAAATTATCCCGAGCATGTAATGTCCTAGGGATAATATATCTGACAACGACCACAAAAGCGGAGGTTTCCTGGGACTGTCGGTCAGCGGAATTCGGTTCAGATAGAATGTGTATGACTAAATTACAGTTTAATTTGTTCCATACGCATTCTATCTGAACCAAAATCCGCCACGGACAGTCATGGGAAGCCGCAGCTAAAAAAAAACGAATTCACGAAAAGAATATTCATTGCATAAACGCGTTTAATATATAATGGAGGTATAATGTATATAAAAGACATAAGGCGAATATCCATCAAATCTAGGCTAGTATATGCCCCCAATATACACGAATATCCAGGATATGCGATGTATATACCTTATGTACATACTATGTATAATGTATTTTGTGACAAATATATATCCGTAAAACATGAAATGAATATACTTGACATTAAAAATGGAGATTCTGTGTATATGCACAGGTTTATTGTGAATATACATAAAATCTGCATCAAATAAACTTTTGCTATGTGGGAACTTTCTTATCAAACAAAACGAATTTGAATTTTCTATAATAAACAGGAAAAAACTTAACATTTTTGTAATCTGTGTAGTGTATGTGAACCATCTTCAGGTAAACCACTGGATTTTTTGGAATCCTTGGAGTAACTGTTGTCCAGATACCCATTTTCATCCAGGTTAATCCTACCTGAAGCCCGATCCTCGGGCCAGGGAGAAGAGCTCCCCGATAGAACGAATGTTTTGTCTTTGTCTTTGTCAACGTAATCGAAAAGTAAATGAGAATGATAAAGATGAAAAATTTGTTCTCTCGAGGAGCTCTACTCCCTGACTCGAGGATCGGCCCGCTGGGGGGCGATTCTCCGGCCAGGGAGTAGAGCTCCCCGAGAGAACAAATTTTTCGTCTTTATCATTCTCGTTTACTTTTCGATTACGTTGACAAGGACAAAACATTCGTTCTATCGGGGATTTCTACTCCCTGACCCGAGAATCCGCCTGCTGGAGACTTAAATATAGACTTCGTTGACATAAATTCCAGAGATACAAAGTCATTGGTCAATCTACTATCGTATTTTAATCTCAAGGTATTCGTGATCGAGCCAAGACGGATCACTATGGTCATACAGCCCTTACGGCCGAATTAGTACTACAACACGAAAAGCAGAAAAAAATCGTAAAGAAGGGTAGAATTTTTAGTACTAGACACTTTGAGACATTTAGATATTTGGCGAGCACCATCAACTGGGAAATTATCCAAAACTCAGCCAATCCTATAGAGTGTTTACGAAAAACAGTTATGACTATTTTTAACAAAAGTTTTCCCTTAAGAAAACTGAAAATAAAACCTACAAAACGGTGGATCACAAATGGGATTGGAATTTCGGGCAAAAATACCTAGGTATTAGGTCTTTACATACAATACGAAAGTTTGCAAACTCAGATTGGTTTAATAATAATTATTTTAATCTATATCGTAGCATATATAAAAAGGTGATACGCACAGCGAAAAAAAAATACTTCAGCAAAGCGGCTAACTCTCGAAAAGAATACTGGAAAATTATTATTGAAATGCGAGGGAAACCAGAAAAGATAACAAGCAAACTGAATATTACGTCATCAGAACTAAATCAGTTTTACTGTACAATCGCAAGTAAATTAACAAGTAACCTGAAGGCAAATAAAGGCGTGGGCCCATCCGCCGTAATGGAATATCCCATATTACCCGAAATACCCCCTGGAGAAAAAAATTTATACTTATACCGAAAATATAATTTTGAAAACAATGTACTAACAATAACTTCAAAAAGTAACTGAACATTAGACTTACCTGCCAGAATGAGCGATAATTTTGTACAAATACAACCACTACATAAATTTAAAAATCTCTTTTGCAAAACTTGATGAACACGTTTAATATCGTATGATGTTTAGATAACTAAAATAAGGCAACTGTTGAAACCTGATGAGGTTAATAATAGTTTAGGGTTGGAATGATGTCAGCTTGGGTATAAAAATGCAGATATCGCGACCCCCCAAAAAAATTGACAGCTATTCCATATTACCAGGACTATTCCATATTCCCCGAAATTACTCTACCCAAACTTGCTCTTACAAAGAGCTCTGCGATCTACGAGATTTTTAAGGTCTTAAAGGTCTACTGAAATAAAAAATACAAATGACTATTCTCTGCTTTTCGTCGTGATCTAAAAAGGTTCCTTCTAGTCAAGGCATACTACAGCCTACAAGAATTCTATTCCTAGTCTAATATATATTTATGTGTGTATTTTTTGTTTTACTCTGTTTTACCATGACTGATTTTATCAATTTTTTTTTAATTATTTATATTTTCTTTTTTTTTTAAGTTTTCTGCCTATATTAATTTTTATCAGACTTCTATTTTTGTGTTAATTTCTTTCTGTTTTAATTTTGTCTTGTGTGTATTTCACACTGTTTCCTTTTTATTCTAGTCTGTTTTATGGATTTTATTTTAAAAATATTTGTAGTTAGGTACCTACTGTTTGTTATGTAAGCATAGTATTTTATTTATTTGTTTATTTTTATTTTTGTTTAATCTTATACCTTTTGTGGCCGTTATACTGCCTACTTTGTAGATATAGGAATTATTATTAGAATTCTGTTGCTTTGTCAATAATTTCTCGGGAATTTGAACAATAAGGCTTATTTTAAAATTGAAATTGAAATAGCTGGGGCACGCAATAAACCTCGGTCATTATTAGGAACGTTGCTAAAATTTTACATAGTAAGCACCGCAAAATGGCTTATACCCACACTGATTGGCCTTTCCAGATTGAAGTCCTAAAGCCTAAAGGTAGGCAGTACTTCTAATGACATACATAATTTAATAGCACTACTTGCGAATCCTAGTGCTAAACTCGATGAAGGTCGCGCTATAGTTCCGGAACGGCTACAACTAGCTGTACGTTTACATCGGAACTTTTAACTCACCTTATTACTGGGAAACGTCAACCAATGCAAGTAAGTCTGTCCATGTCTGTGCGACTGTGCATAACCTAACTGGTAGCAAGGAGCTTATTAATATCCTAAAGAAATTGAAAATTGGAATCTCGTATGATGATGTCCTTGATGAATTAGCAGCGTTGGCGATCTACCATGCATTAATTCGCCATATTACAATTGGCCAAAATTTACCATCATTCACCGGTTTTCATTGCAGCCTACAAAGTAATGTGGATAAGTGGAACACATAATGTAAAATCTTACTCGCAGCTCGCAACCCCCATGCAAAGAAGTAGTAAACAGTATGTTGGACTGGTGTCAGCTCTAGTTGCAGAACAAAAGCAAATGCCACTTATTCAACTAGTTGGTGACCAAGCAGTTTATAAATATATTGAAGAATGTCTATGTCTCTTGTGGAAGGCGTCTTGGGAGGATACAGAAATGTCCCATTTGAATGCACTGGGAAAACGATTAGCAGTTTGTGGAATCAAGGAATTAGCTGTATAGAGTCAGGTGTTGTCGCTGCAGGTAGTACGTGTCAAGCAAGCATAGTGGAAAACATTACAACAGGGCAATGCGTCTACGCCAATTAATATCAGAATTTTTATTATGCATGTAATCTGGAGGAATTGGCATCGACAGAAGAACAGGCAGAAGAAGTCCGTTATGTCAGATTCATAATAATTTTGTACGTGTCATGTTTGCGGACATTTTAGAATCTGAATCAGAAATAGCAAAATTTTGGCTGTCCTATATTATTAACGTCGAGGTTCTATTCCAGCATTACCACTGCCTGAGAAGTGGGGTTAGTTTTGATGAGTATTTATACAGTTGTCGTACAATGCTTCCCCTCCTATAGCAGCATATGGATATATGAATTATTCACGAAACCTTTCCCACTTTATTTCTGGCGTATGTCTACCTTAACACCAACTGAGAAAGAACATATGGCTGCAATCTACTCATTTGCTTTAACAGGCAAGAATTACAGCAAATTACCTCTTGACCAAGGTATAGAGAAATGACTATGAATAAACAATCAAAAAATCGAAAAAGTGGCGGTTGGGTAGGATTTTGCAAGACTCTGTCAATGATTGACATTAGCCTACTAAGTAGGCCTTCCGTATTGTACATTGAGCAACATCTACAAGAAGCTATATGTTTGAAAAAACCTCTTCACCGTCACCCAGAGTTAGGCCCGTCGAGATTAAAAAAAGATGTCGAGGTTATTAGTTCTGTAAAAGTTGCACTTGAGGAATGGGATGCAGACCCTTGGGATCTTACTAGACCAATCCTTAGATCTCTTTGCACTGGTCATCCAGCAACAACTGAAGTACCTACTAAATAGTATGTGCACAGCCCATGAAGATGGTAATTCAATGACCGAGGCCGGTTTGAAACGTCTATCTACAGGAAATACATCGCTGCACGATCCCATATCTCAACGGAAGAGAGTAAGACGTTTGCCACAAAAACTGTACCTAATAAACCAAAACAACAACTAAGAAAATCAGTTGCGATCATACTGCAAAAAAACAGGTCATCGATCTGTTGATCACTGGACAAAATTCTACAATGACGCTCAAGATTTAATGCAA